ATATAATATAACCTTTCACAAATACTTCCCAATTCACAATACTGCAAGTATTGTGTAGTATGATTTTAATTTGGCTTGTGTATAGATTTTGAAAATTCAAAGTTAAAAAGTCTTTATTAAAATTTAAATGTTATTACTTTTGTCTGGTGTACTCTACTAGACACTAGTAACTGGTAACATTTTTAAGCAGTTTCTATGTGGTACACAGTAATTAGGATATATACTTAATATGAAAACAGAGAAAATAAGTTGCTAGAGTAGTGTTTCTCCACCTTTCTCAAACTCAACCTGCGTGGATGGCTTGCTGGAGAATTCTGGGAGTTGAAGTCTACTTGCCAAGGTTGAGAAGGACAGTGTTAAAGAAAGGTCTCCTGAAAAAGGTATAAAGAACTCTGTTGAATCAAGTAAAGAATCATCATCATTAGTTCCGCAGCCAGTATGCAGCTATCTTCTCCATGGATTTGTTTAGTCGCTTTTTAAACCTATCTACTTTTTCTGCCCTTGAATATTACCCAGATTTGTGTGTGCCAGAGTGCTATTTCATTTGATAGCAACACATTCCATAGTTTATGCCTTGTACAAAGAAACACATCTGCCATTCATTCCTGAATATCCCAGCATTTTATGTCAAGATATGACCCAGATTTTCTAATATTGTAAAAGGATGAAAAACTATCCACATTTTCCACACCATCTATAATCTTATATAACTTAGTCATATTTTGCCCTTGCTTGCCTTACTTTTGAACTTAAAAACTTAAAGTTATCATCTTTCCTTGAAGAATAAATATGCAAGGCCACAATAGTTTCATTCTTTCCTTCACTTTTCTAAGATCAGTAATGTCTTTTTAGATGAGAACTGCATCTAAAATGTAATACACAGTATACAGAGTGTACAGTAGTCCAGTGTTGGTGAACCTTATGCCAAAAATTCATAAATGCCTAACTTGACTGCTTGCATATGTCATACACATGCATCAAACAAAAGAGAAACAATTCTGTACATATTTATTTATAATTAAATGCACTTGTGCACACAAATGCAAAAGCTGATTTCACTCAATCACTGATAGTGTACCCACTGTAATCACAGTTGTCTTCTGCATGTGTTCCTTGAAAATGAGCTTTGCTGTGCAAACAACTACCCTGTGCAATGGTTGGAAGACAACTGAACTGTACAACTGCCATATTCCTATCACATTTTGCAAGCTGCTGTCTCTTTCATGTCACCTCCAGTCACAAATATGAAGAAAACAACGTCCTGATATGGATGGTGAGAATACATTTTAAGGTTTGAGTGGTGCAGGGTTGCATAGTTCTTGTATTTATTTTTGTTCAGTTTCTTTGGCAACTCAGACAGAGAGAATAACTGTTGTCAGGTGTTGGTGAATGCTGATGTGTCACCCAAAACATCATGGTGTGTCATCATTGAAACATATGTCATAGATTCACCATCACTGGTTTAGTCACGCTATTTAAATATGGACATCATTAAATTAAAATGTATATTTAGTCCTTTTCCTTAACCAGTTTCATTGTTATTGTGCTGCTTTCTACAGTACATTTCTGTTGCATCTTCTTCAACTGTGAAATCTTCTTCCAGACTTCCGACCTGTTTGCTATGAGGAACCACAGCATTGGTGTTCAGTTGCATACTATGAACTTAATAACAGAGTTGGAGAGACATTTCAGGCCTCTTCTCGAAGTATACTAATAGATGGCTTTACAGATCCTTCAAACAATAAGAACAGATTTTGCCTTGGATTGCTGTCCAACGTTAACAGGAACTCTACTATAGAAAACACCAGAAGGCACATAGGAAAAGGTAACAGCACATTCCTTCTGCAATAATAAGAAACACTGCTTGGAAGCACTTGGGTTCAGAAAACTGTTGAGTTCAAAACTGTTTCTAAAATGTATATTACTAGTAGTCTTTGACTTACAACCACAATGGAGTGCAAACCTCCTGCTGCTAAGCAAGACAGAAGTGAGTTTTGCCCCATGTTACGACCTTGAATTGTGAATCACTGCAATTGTTAAATTAGTGACACAGTGGTTAAGTGAATCTGACTTCCCCATTGACTTTGCTCATCAGAAGATCACAAAAGGGGATCACATGAGCCTGGGACACTGCAACCATCATAAATGAGCCAGTTTCCAAGCATCTGAATTTTGATCATGTGATTACAAGGATGCTATAACAGTTGTAAGTGTGAAACTGGTCATAAGTCACTTTTTTCAGTGCTGCTGTAACTTTGATCAATCACTAAACGAAAAGTTGTAAGTCAAGGACTACCTGTATTATTTTAATTTACTAATTAATTTACTATATTAATGAATGCCCTGACTATGTATTTATGACAACAATAAAAAATGAAATATAAATATATAGTATAAGTATAAAAGAAAGTAAATATGGTTAAAGCTTGAAGTTAAGTGTTGAAAACATTTACAAAGAAATAAATTAATGCTTTCTTGTCTACATTCCACATGAAACGCAGAAATTAGAAAAACATAGGGGGCTCAGAAAAAGAGGTCTAATTAGAACAAAGAAAATATAATTTTGTTGCATTTAAACATAATCACAGGGTAATTTATGTGTAACATACAGGTGTATATAAGCTGTAATTTGGTGATTCCCTTTCATTTGACTCCTGATGTCCCCAAGGACATCTATGTATATAGTAAGTTTCATAGTAATATCATAGAGGGGCTTAAACTTGTCTCTTATAGGACTGTTATTATTTGTCAATTTAGTCTTCAGCCAGGAACTTTGCTGGTGGCCTTCTACCAAATACAAGCTAGGCCTGATCCTGCTTAGTATGGGCCATTAGTCAAGAATGACTAGGTGCTGCCAGCCTTTGTAGAATTGCAGAAAGTTATGGACAGGATCATTAGCAAAATTCCAGAGTGGACCCTTAAGCTTTACTTACAATATAGAAAGCCCTTTCACAAATTGTTACCTGATTGTAATGTTTAATGCATCCAAACAGGAAGATTAGCATATAGGTATATAATGATCACATTAGCTATATTTAACAATTAATGTAATATAATGTAATAAATTACTCATCCTGATACCACTCTGCCCTGCCCACTTTGTAGCATAGCATCTAACATATCAGCCAATGTCTAAGCTTGGACTCCACTGCAGTAAAAAAAAAAAAAAGATGTAACTCTTTAGAAGGTCACTCTGAATGTCTTAACAATTTGATAAGAAGCTTTTCTGTGGACTGTAAAAAAAATCAGTGAAATGTTTACTGTTGTGTTAAGAACAGATTTCTAATAAATTTTTGTTCAAGGAAGAGAGGATGAGGTTGTATGAGCAGGAAAAATATTATTATAGTCACACTTGGGGAAGGAAACAGAGAGTGAAAGTGATCTGGTCAGCAAGAGTTTCAAACAACCAGAATTTTTATTAAGCCTAAGCTTGGCATAGAGTTGCATAGATAGAAATGGGTTCCAACACCAACTGGGAGTGCTTTGCTATCCATAGAAAAATTCATAAAAAGGAATTCATACAGCTAAAGCGCTTTCTTTAGGATTCAGTTTTAAGATTGCTCATCCTGCCAGTTTATGCATGTTCTGTCCATCACATAATAATGCCATACTGTTAGTATATCATAAAAAATAACATAGGGATTTTAAAAAAGAGTTACAAATCTTGCTTTAATCTATGTTGAAGATTAGATTAGACTTGGCTACCTCTTTTCTCTTAAAGGTGTTCACCTGTATTATGTTGGGGGAGAGGTATATGCAGAGTGTGTGAGCGACAGCAGCATTTTTGTACAGAGCCGCAACTGTAACTATCAGCATGGTTTCCACCCAGCCACTGTCTGCAAAATCCCCAGTGGATGCAGCTTGAAGATTTTCAACAACCAACTCTTCGCTCAGTTGCTTGCCCAGTCAGTTAACCATGGCTTCGAGGTGGTGTATGAGCTAACCAAGATGTGCACCATCCGGATGAGCTTTGTTAAAGTAAGAACTTTCTTTGGTTTTGATTATGAAATTGAAAAGGTTTAATAGGCCTCTTTGTTACAAGAACATTTTAAAAGATACAAAGCTTGGAATGGATGAATGGATGGGATATGCTAAATTTTGTATCTTCCATGATACTACACAAGTAAGTGAAAAATTATCAGAATTATTTGTAATTTGTGACACGGTTTTATCACTAGGCGTAGTCTCTTCAATTAGGATTCATTTCACACAAGAGGGAATGAAAAAGGATTACTAATTTACTCAACGCAAAAAAAATTATTGGAAATGTACTTGCACTGGGCTACTCTTCTGATCCATGTTTGGGTTTCATTAACAATTATCACCAGGTCCTTCAATTCAGAATCAGGCAAATCTGATTTTTGCCTTTCCCAGGCCTTCTTCGAGAGGCTTCTTCTAGCTCCCTCATTATGATTATGTTTCTTTGATGTCATAACCAGGGTTTGAGTATATAGGGCAGGGGTGTCAAACTCGTCATGTGACATGTCGCGACTTACTGGGTGGGCATAGCTTCTGCGTGACGCATCTGGCCCGCAGGCCGGCAGTTTGACACCCCTGCTATAGGGTCTCCTAACAGACCCAAAGAAATATTACAAAGTTCTTGGGGTATTTTACTAAACTAGACTCTCTTGTAAAAGAAGTAATGACAATTTTCTTTTTGGCTTACCTGAATAGCCCATTATTTCTTCTAGATTGTGTGCAAAAGTAGAAAAATCCCAAGACTAAAATCCATATATGTGATCCTCAAAATTTTTGGGACATGGGATCAGTGGTGGGATTCAAATATGTGAACAACCGGTTCTCTGTGTGGATGCCCTTCCGGAAATCTATTCTGGGCCTGGGCAACAAAAAAATTAGCTACCGGTTCTGCTGAACTGGTGCAAACTGGCTGAATTCCACCACTACATGGGATTATCAGAACTGGAGATGTGCTAAGATAATTTATAAAGGCTGCTATTACATTCTTTCTTGGGAATGAAGCCTGCTAAACTCAGATTTTTTTTACAAATAATCAAGGTTACAATATTGCTCATGATTTCATGACTGTTATAAATGAAAAGCAAATGCATCCTTTGATGTTCTTTCAGTTGATAATACTTTTTGTGTGTTTATCCAATTTCAGCATTTAATTCAAAAAGAGATATGCTTCATTCTTTAAACAGAAACAATATTAATCACCCATATTTAACTTTTTGTTTGTATCTGCTCTGACCCTTGCACGCACCAAAAATGTTATGTGTATCACCCAGTCAAAGTTGTGCATTTTTGTGGTATCTGAAGGTTGATGGGTTTGGGGTTGTTGTTGTTTTTTTTTATTAGCCTGTAAAATGCAATTAACAAAGGCAATTTGATTTTTGCCTACTTAGTTTGAATCCTGCAAATCCTGGAAACACCATACATTTGCATCTTATGAATAAAACATTTTATAGTTTGTAACTTGAAGCTATTTTTTTTGTTAGTAAACAAAAAGGGAAACTTTGCAAGAGACCTCCCTAAGAATGTATGCAATTAAACTTTGATGAAAGCTAGATTTGAATGAAGATACATAATGGGTATGTTAATGCTAGTTTCTTTGCACTTGCCTTCTTGGTTTCAGAAGCATAATTCTCTGATAGAGAAAGAGCTCTATTCTTCTTCTAAATAACTTTATTGGAAGAGAAAAGGTGAATACAAAATTCTTTCCTTTGAATAAAGCAAATACAAGCCACAATTTCAGCCTCTTGAGACAGTACTGATTTATTAAGGAAAAGGTAGCCACATTTTAATATTAACTCGTATTAGATTTGTAGCTTTCCTAACTCCCTGGAGGCCAAATCTGTGCACTTATTTAAACACATACAAGTATCTGGAAACGGGATTTATTTCTGCGATAGGTTGACTTTTGCATTCTGCTATCTTGTCAGCAAATACAAGAATAGTTTCTTCAGTGAAGGTGGATCTTTATGCCTACTCCTAAACTTCAAGTTGTTCTAACTTTCCTATTCTCGGGTTTTTTTCATGTCTATTCAATTAAATGTTTGCTCAACAGTTTTTTTTAAAAAAAATAATAATAATGCACTTCTATTCTTCCTCTATAAAGCAAAGGATGATTCTTCATGGCTCTCTTCATTGTCAGAATCACATAGCAAGCAGCGTGATAGGCTTTTATTTATTGTATTCCTAATGCTAATATGTTAGAAATGTGTATCCTTTTTTTAGCAGTTAAGGACTTTATTAAATCTTTTTTTAAAAATATGTTTTATTAATTTTTAACATACACCTTAATATTTGGTAAACATCGTATTGTCTGGGTTAGTGTTTAAAAAACAATAACAATTAATTTCTATAAATCTATAGTCCATATAGTAGCTTTACTTGATTTCCTCTTCTTCCAATAATATTCTCTTTTACCAACCTTAAATTAATACAATTATTATTTAAATAAATGACAATTGAATATAAACATTTTTTCTCATGATTCTGCAAATAATAACTACATCAATATAAAGCTTCTTTTCACTGATCGTCTTGATTGCCTCGTCATAAATCCTGTTTACATTCTTATTTAAATTTGTTTTCCCCACAATATTCAAAACATTCTTACTGGTTAAGATTTTCTCAAAATTAGTTACACTTAAGTATTTAAGTCTTTTTTCTCATACACGCCATCACATTTTTACATTTCTCATATCTTATAAGAAAAATAAGAGGGGAAAAAAGACAAAACAGAGAAACATTTCTTTTATGTAACCCATCCCAACATTTTTATATTTCTCATGTCAAAAAACGAAACACAAAAGAAAAAAGAAAGAAGGCATACTATATTAGTTGAGGGGTTCATCCCTCTTAAACTAATCTTCATTTATATTCAAAATCTTTCTATTTCTTTAACCATATTCAAACAAATGTTTGATTTTTAAATACTCCCTCTGGTAATTCCCATCTAATTTCTTAATTCTCACTTTAGCCCTTTTTTTGCCCAACATCTTCCCTGTTCAATATACTTCAATGAATCAAATAATCTTCCCATAATCTTATAAATGTTGTTGCAGGTACAAAAAGCAAAATAGGTAAGATGTTTTAATAGGAAAGTTTAGCCCTTCGTATTCATTGAAAATCTTTTCCTTTTTTTCCTTTCTTGATTTTATTTATTATTTTTTGTCTCTCAAGTTCTCGTAATTCTTCTGGCAAAATCCATTTTGCCAAATCATTTTTCTTGTCCTCAAACTTATTTTGTAATCTTAAAGTGTAGTTTGTCTTTTCCATGTTCAGAGTTTCCTGTATTTTTTCCCCATCTGGGTTAAGTCATACTTTCTTGTGTTTTTAAATTCCATCTTAAAATCTCTCTCCTCTGTCTCATATTCAGTTGTCTGTTTTTTCTGCTCACTCTCTATTTTTATTTTCTGAGAATTTTTATGTTGTAAAGTTAAATTGGAGATGTGTTCATTTATGTTTTCAAAGTTATGTTTAATTTCCTCATGGTTTGAAATTATTGTTGTTTGGATTAGTTGCAACATAACATAGATCTCCTTCTGGAAAGTATTTGTTTTTTCTTGGTATATTCCTTCTGCAGATCTCTGGTTTTCCATGATAGCAAAAAAACAGGGTTTTCCTTTCTCTGCAGATACCTTTAGAGTCACAGTTGAGTTAGTATTTGTAATCCAGAAAGGTCAATTTTTTTATTTTTTTTTAGAATTTATAATTCTCACTTTGTAGAAAACCCAAGATGTTTTCTTTTTTCTTTTCTTTTCTTTTTTCTTTTGTCACAGCTGTTCTCTGTTATTAAGACATTGAAGGTCACCAGAATCAATTTTATCTTTTCCTGGGCCATGCCAGTCCCTGTAATAGAGCAGCTGTTGTTGTATATTTTCATCTACCACTAGATGTCAGCACCAGTTCTTTCAGTTCTTTTCAGTAATAGACAATTATTTACTTCTATTTCATGATATAAAAGGAAAATCTTAACAGATTCTACCGATTTCAAACTTATCCAAATTAAGTCTTATATTCTTTTAATTTCAATATATTTCTGTTCCCTCTGAAAGATTTAATTCACCACTTCCATCTGCAGGAGGGTGGGGCAAAGGTCCCCTTCTCACTTTCGGAGGCTTTTTGCTTCTTGAGGTTTTTTTTCTTTTCTTTTTCAGGAAATCAATTTCCAAGTAGAAGAAAGAAAATCACTGTTCTTACCCAGTTCCAAACACGTTGTTTACAGTCAGCTTGAAGTAGTACTTTTGGACTTTGATTGCTTGTAGCTTGGGCTAGACTTGGAAGTTAAGCTAGACTTTTCTCTTGCCGGTTTCTGGAGGGCTTTTCCCAAACCGATCGGATCAACCACTGTCTCTCCGCAATCGGCGGGACTTCCCCCCTTCTATGTTGCCTCTATGGGGCAACTTCAGGCTCATTTAGGGTCCCTTGGCAGGCAGAAATCAGCCGTAGGGTGTGGAGTCCTGTGATCTCTGCTGCTGTGCTGCTGCGCAAAACCGGAATTCCAGGACTTTATTAAATCTTTGAATAGCATACATAGGCCACATTACAAAGTCAGAATCAGAACAAAACAAGAAGCAAGGCTAGTACAAAAGTTTAGATTACATTACAGTGTTGTTTGGAATCAGATCAAATTAATAATTTGATATTGATGTCAATTAATCATAATAGTAATTATGATTATTAACAAAAAGACAAAGTAGTCACACTGGTTTTGCATGGTTCGCTCAGTTTTAACTTGGAAGAATAAGTTTATTCTGAATTTGATTTCTGGAAGAAGATGGTATATCTGATTAAAATGCCACAAGGACATTTTATATTGGGTCTCTGTGTTATCATTAATGTCACTCACTCTCTTTTGATTCAAGTTTCACTTTGAAAACATAACCAAAGTTCAAACATTTTGAGAGATTACATTATAGAGGTTTTACTTTCAGTAATAATATTTACATCTTCAAAAAATGGCATAATATAAATTGCAATACTAGGTGGCTTTGTGTAGAAAAAGAATCAATGCAACACCAATCTGAAATGATTATCAAGTCTCCACCAGAGGGAGATGGAAAACCATTTAATGAATCAAGAGTTTGCCAGATGTATTCTGTATTAATCCATAACTCATATTTGCTAAAGGATGCAATATAAATTGTTGAATTAATACTAATTCTGGGATTTGTTCCAAGTCCATATATTTTTATTACATGTATCCCTTATTTTCCCACTTACAAATAGATGATAAAAGTTAAAATACTCCATTATAAACAATATCTAGACAAAAATATAAAATAAGATTGTAATCTGCTTTCAAAACAGCAGTAACAGTCATCTCAAGTACTCATGTACATTTTCCCACGTAGCCAATGATATATGATATTCTCTCATATGGATTTGATTTATTCAGACACTGTGTAAATAGAATTAAAAATCATGCTTTTTACAAATTAGCTATCCACAATTGCATTATTTCTCATTACTTCCAAGCACAAGTGGAGGTTTTTTTTAGGAAACTTTGAGTAAAATTCTTTTAAGTGGCAATTTAGTTAATCATCTCACAAACAAAGATGTAAGAAAGTTCAAACACATGAATACACAACCATTCTTTATATAGAAAATGATGAATGGTTAGAATGCAGTAGAATTTTTTCTGTGCACACAGCAGTCTTGTCTTGAGTAAAATGAAGAATCAAACAACAATGTCTTTGAACCTTTGCCATTTATTTGTCTTTTTTGTAGGGCTGGGGAGCAGAATACCATCGCCAGGATGTTACAAGTACTCCTTGTTGGATTGAGATCCATCTTCATGGACCTTTGCAATGGCTAGATAAGGTGTTGACACAAATGGGTTCCCCACATAACCCAATATCCTCTGTTTCGTAAGAATTATCTCCACACACTCTAGGGGTCAAATACTGCTTTTGGCCTTGGCTTGTAGGATTCTCCCTTAAATTTCTGTATATAGCTGTAAATATAATTGTATATATATATATATAACATACTATTAGTGTTTTTCATGCTGTATTACATGTTTTATTAGTTAATAAGACTGAAAAAAGTACAGTACTTTGTCATTGTATTCTGTCTATTATGAAGCCATAGAAATATGCCTTGCCTATTTTTTTTTTGTAAGGAATGAGACCAGTATTGTTTGCACTTTGTAAAAAACTACCGGTATATATCAAAGTTAAATTCTGAAAACAATAATGCTGATTTCAAATGCAGCAAGTGGTACCTCTGTTCAGAGTGGCAGTTTATTGATACCATCAAGCAGATGCTTCTGGAAACCTAGAATATCGTGACTGTGGTTTGTCCATTTTGTCCCTGGCATGTGGATTTCAACATAAAACTTTATTGTTTGTGATTACAAAGGTTACATTGTGCACAATTAACAATGATAAGCCTGCAAATGGAACCTTCTCTAAATATCAGGTCTCTCTGTCATTGGTTTGAAGAGAAATTGGAGACTGAACGAGACCTCCTGCTTTGTGATATAAAAAACATTACCTATCCGATTCCAAGAATTATTAAATTTGTTGTTCAGTAATGATGAGGTAATGATGGGAAGAGGCAATATAAAGCTGCTATACTTTGAATTCCATTCTTTGTAATACCTAGAATGATTTCTACCTAGCTAGCAGGACATTGTAGTCCTTCACACATGCTTCACCTGCAGTGGAAAGAAAGAAATATATAATATATTAACCCCAAGACATTACTAATTGGCCATATGTTATGGGCCTTGATAGTAGAAATGGACAGTTGACCAATGGCAATCGCAATTTTCTTAATACAAAACAAAACAGCAGATTCATGTGTTGCCAAGCTTCTCTCAGACTCTTCAAATTCATCATTTACAAAGTAAATACTGTAGCATTTCAGTAAAAATACTACTACTCTTCCTCCCACACATCTTAATTATTGATAAGCATAGTAAATGAGGGCAATTGTTATCGACAATGAACCTGAGTGGAAGGTAATTAATATATTGTTAATATGTGCTAGCCTTTGCTTCAGTTTATATATTACTTATTTGATTAGTCACTTTGTACATAATATTGAATGATAAAAAATACACTGGAATAGCCCAAAAATATTAACTTGCTGCAAAATGGATCAAATTTAATAACAAATCTAAAAATGCATTTGCCAGAAAAGAAAAATCAGCTGATAGCACTTAAGTATTTAAGTCTAAGTACACATCTTTATACAATTCTGCTAATCAGAGCATCAGTTTGCCCTTGAATGTTCTATTACCAAGTTATTTCTTTAAATTGTTCTTGCTTTGGGGTATCCCCGTCCTAATTCGATCCTTTGACAGATAGATACCTCCCCCTCCATTGTTAACTTAGAAGCAAGTAATTTATGGAGAAAAATGGGTTAATTACATCAAATTGTACATTCAAAACACCTTAAAGAATGAGAGTGGGATATAGGTTTCATGCATGTATGGATTTCTACAAGGTGTCTTTTGAGAATTAAAGATTTGACAGAGATAAGTTTTAGAAAATTGATAAAGACTGTAATTGATAAAGACTGGAAATTTTATTCTTCCATTGCATTGTTAAAATGTTTTAAATATAATTGTATCAAAGAAAAAACTTCATAGCATTGCCAAAGAGGGATTCTATAATAACCTCACAGGCAAATATAATTTGTGATCCACAAACTATAATCAGTTTTATTAGATATATGAAACCTTACTTTCTGCTTACACAAAGTACAGCTGGAAGAAAAACCTAACTTAAGATTAAATAATAAAATTAAAAAGTTTTAAGCCCTAATACAATTATGACAAGCTTTTTGAATTTCATTCTTAAATTTTACAGTTTAACTAAACAATATATGCACAATCAATATTACATTAAAAAGAGTTAAAACTGATTTAGAAAATAAGTGGAAATATATTTGTCATAAGCTGCCTTTGCATGACATAATGAACCACAAACTAGCCAATCTTGTTTAGCCTAGTGAATAATGCAAACCTAGCCCACTTGTCAAATTTAGTTTAATGAATTATGTAAATACAAGAAATTTGGTTGGGCAAACCATGGATAACTTTACCTCGGTGTGTTGTTTGAACACAGTCAAAAAGTAATCAGTGTGTAATATTTGTTAGGATGTGCATTCATAGTAATTCCTTTATAAACTTGTGAACAACACATTTATAAACATATCAAACAGTGTTTCAAATAAAAATCTCAGTGACATCTACTGCAGTGTGATATTTTCAACCAATGCGGAACAGAAATACCTTAAATCCTTATTGATATATGATTATTATGCCTATAAGCTTGGTTTCTTTTTCTGGAATGCTAGGATAACGACCAATAAAACAGGCAAAAAATAGCTAAAATAGCAGAATACAACTGTATGTAAAACAACTGTCCTGGGAATTTATAAACCTAAAGCTCTCTCAGCCATGAAGCATAGCTAAATGCAACACATGCTGTATAGAAAAATATTTACTGTTAAATTGTACTTGGAAAAAAATCATATGATTACTTCTTTCAGAATTTAGCTAGGACTGCCTGCACAAAAATGGTCCCTTTAGATAGATTTTTCTGTCCCCTAATGTTTTTGTACAACTATTGAAATTATGTAAATTTAAAGCTGTTAAATGTGTTTATAAATATGCAGTGCTTTGAAATTTAAATCATTTGGCAGAAAAACCATTTATCAGCAACTAGTTTAGGGGAAAACATTTCTTAAAAACAGTTATATATGTTCAAAACACATTCAGTCTTTTGGGGAACAATCTGGAAGTACTGGGAAGCTATATGATATTCAAGATTAATTCATAGAAAACTAAATGGTCTGTTATTTATTATATGCAGGTCAACTATTCCCTTATTTAAAAACCTGTAGGAAAAAAGTCTGTTTTTATTGATTAAAAATTGAACTTTATTAATGATTCTGAGGCTTCTTTATAAACTGTTTATTCTCAGCCTTATTTTTCATTAGCTGCTGGTGGAGGAAGTAAACCTATTATTCATTAAGATATTTTTTCCACTTCCCTTATTTATTGGTGTGATTTCTTTCTGATTGGTTGCTGCAGAGCTGCATAAATTCTCCCCCCCCCTCTCACCCACCCAGGGAACAATTGATCAGGAATAATACAAAGCACATGGATCCTATAAATTAGCATTAAAGAAATCACATAATTTCTGCTGCAGCTATAAGCAAGGTACCAGGTTGTAATTCTACTTGGATTTTTGGAAGGTGTGCTTCAGAGCACTGAATAATCACTGCAATGCTATATAGGATTGCAACCTAAAAATTCTGGGTAACATTACAATTTTTCTCTGATTTATTTAAGTCTGGATGCTTGATAACTATCTACAGAACTATGCATAAGAGTGCAATCTTCAAAGCAGGCAGAATCCATATTCATACTTGAAGGTTGGCGATTTGAAAGGAATGGTTAAGGAGTCTCTGTGTGTCCAAATAAAATGTGTGTGTAAAAGTAGGAAAGACTGCTGACTCTTTTAAAGGACATTAAAATTTTAAAACAAAGATTTCAACCTAGATTCACAGATTGAAATTTGAAAAGCAGAATGTGGAAAATTAAAAGAAAATACTATTATAGTAACTTATTTGTATCATCATTTTTTAAAAGAGTGAATATTACATCTCATACTTTTCCCACAAATTTCTGACTACCAGCATGTGTAAACATCCAAGTATCTGAGTACAGCAAGCAGTGGTCTGAATAATAAGTGTTTTTCTCCCATACATATCCATGTCATGCAAAACCACAGCAAGGATTGTGTACATCTAGATACATTTTTGCCTTGAGTTTGTTGTAGCTTGTTTTGGTAGAGGAGAACATTAATAATCCATTGCTTTGGAGCCACAGATCATTTATGATTATTTTCAATCCGGTGGCATCATCTGCTCCCTTTGTGAGAAGATGGAGTCTATTCGATTGATGTACCTCCAGGCAACTGATGGGTCCAATGGGAATTGAAAAGGAGCTTGGCATTTTTCATGGGGATCAGATGGGTAGTTCAGGCATTAGAAAGGGAAGACTTGGATTGTGTTGTCACTATGTGACCTCTTCCAGTGCAGCAATCCCAGGATGTGCTGTGGATTGCTGAGAAGATCAAGGGAATGAAGCACAAGAGAAGTTATGCCTTTACTTGGATCCTGAGGCCCTGCATATGGTCACTTGTGCCCTAGTCATCTCTTGGCTGGATTACTGCAACTTTCTCTACATGGGGCTAACCATGTATTTGGGCTACCCCCAAATACATGTACCCCATGTATTTGGAAGCTGCAGCTGGTGGGAGCATCTAGGGGTGCACATATAATACCTTTACTGCACGAGTTGCATTGGTTACCACTCTGCTTCCAGGTCCAAGTCAAAATGTTGGCTGTTACCTTTAAAACCCTACATGTCATAGGTCCAGAATATCTGAGGAGCCATCTCTCCCCAATAGGACAAGCCTGCCTCACTCGTGCCAGCAGAAGATCCTATCTGTTAAGTAATTGAAGCAGGCGAAATCAAGAACAGCCTTTTTCCTGTGGCACATTCTGCCACCAGAGGTGAGAATTATTCCCTCTTGGCCTTCCGGATGTATATTAAAATCCGGCTTCGTGAGGGGGAGTACTTGCCTCTGGAAAAGGCTGATGAGGTAAGTAGACCTCATCCCCATCCGATCCATCTCTTGGCTTAATTTCAGTTTTTCATATTTTAATCTGTAGTTTTAGTATTTTAATTATTTTTTGCTTGTTTTACCGCCTAGAATCATCTTGTAGGGAAGATGAGTGCACAAAAATTAGAGAGAAGCCTAGAGCACATTGGAGGAAGACAAAGCCAGTCTGATTGAACATGGAGTAAATATTTGAGATGCCCTCATGAAGATAGGGCAATGAAGCATCAGTATTCCTCTATCTTTATTGCATCTGCTGATAGTTGCCCAGCAACTCTTTAGGGTGACCTGGTCCCTTTTTTCATTTATCTCAAGTACAGTGTTTGA